GCACTTGCTGTTGAGTTACTAGACAGTTCTAGGCTTATAGAAAAACGTTCAGTTCCCCCCAATAATGCGGAAGTACGCACATTGGCTTGTCCTCTCTCCTTTATTCTACAAAAATGTCGTTTTGCAATTTGCGAATACCCATTCGAAAATCCAACACCCGCCCCTTGCAGAGAACTTCATCCCGCCAACTGCCCTAAAACACGACCCGCAGGGCTGCCCGATCACGATGGCGTCCATGCTACAGCAAAAGCTGTTTTTATTCGTAACTATAGCCTTGATAATGGGAGGTAAATAAAAATCTTCTTTTAATTCCATCAAAAAATCCAGGGCTCTGCCTGACAATCGCCGGTGTCTTTTCCCCCGCATGGCAGGTGGCCGCGATTCGGGAGTTTATGGCTGAGCATCAGGTAAAAGGAGCTGCAACTAGGGTGTGAGCTTCAACATTTCAGCACGGCCTCTGGTGGGACTGCATTCGGGCGGAGAAGCACGTTGTCTCGGCCGGAGATTTCTACAATGAGGAGCCGCTCCACTGCATGTACAAGGTAGGCTTATGACCTAAAAATCTCTGCTAGCCTGCTCTCTCCTTTTCCTCAACAATCTCTGCTAGCCTGCCCTCTCCTCGTCCTCAACAATCTCTGCTAGCTTGCCCTCTCCTCTTCCTCAACAATCTTTGCTAGCCTGCCCTCTCCTCTTCCTCAACAATCTTTGCTAGCCTGCCCTCTCCTCTTCCTCAACAATCTCTGCTAGCCTGCCCTCTCCTCTTCCTCAACAATCTCTGCTAGCCTGCCCTCTCCTCTTCCTCAACAATCTCTGCTAGCCTGCCCTCTCCTCTTCCTCAACACTCTCTGCTAGCCTGCCCTCTCCTCTTCCTCAACAATCTCTGCTAGCCTGCCCTCTCCTCTTCCTCAACAATCTCTGCTAGCATGCCCCTTCCTCTTCCTCAACAATCTCTGCTACTGCTCATGCTCAAACATCTCCAGTTTGACAACTCGGCCGAGCAGGTCATCGAGAATACGCTGATGAACATTGACGAAGATGGAGCAGCCGGCGAGAGCGAGCACCACAGATTCTGGGGTAAGCTCCTGCTCACTCCTCACGCAGGGCTTTAGCAGATACAATTAAAGACCCTTTCATCCATCCTTTCAGCATGGCACAAAATCATTCTCTTCTGTATCATCACCTCGCAGATCGTGGCGATGGTGTCGATGTGCTGCGGTGCGTGCACCCCATGCATTCCACAGGCTTCGCTTGGGTTCACCGGATGCATCATTGTCGCAGGTATCAAGACAAAGAACGACCAAAGTCATTCTGATAGTGGTGCTCTCCCTAATCGCGGACGGCGTCTTTTTCCTGGCCGCCAACCGAGTGGATAACCGCTTCGTGCAGGGTGTTGTCGGGACTTATGAGGTGAGGAGAAAATTTTTAATGCAAATCTGAAAATTTTTCACGTTTAGGAATAGTAAAGATTTATATTGAAAAATTAGACCTTAAGAAAAAATTGTCCCCCCCCCCCCGATAATGCGAAAGAACGCTTTTAGCAACGGATCGGATACGCTTTCTACGTCCACATGGGCGGCACTCTGTGCTGGATGGGCGCCGCCCTCCTCGCCGTCGGCACCGCCTACAAAGTACGTTTTTAAGGCCTAGCCATTTTCTTACAAATATTTTTCAATACCACCATGTTCAGGTGATGGGCAGCGACCACGAGGATACCTACGGAGGGTAGGCATTTTCCAGCTTCCGACCCGATTTTCTTTCTTGCCGTTCAACGCTATCCTATCGTTTTGTTGCCGTTGTGGATCGGCTTTTCCTGATTTGCATAGAGCTTTTAATAATTAAAAACAACTATAGAGAAGCTAGGAAAATATAGCGACGATTGAGAATTCACGCAATACCTTTTCCCGGTTTTCAAAAAAGTCATGATCGAGAATTTGCATTTTTTGCAAAATCCCTAACCTAGCAAAGCTAGCAAAGTTAGTATTATCCTGTCTTCACACTCTAGCCAATTCTATCCCACTGTCAAAAAAAACACCCAAGAAATACCGAAATCCCGTTCAGAAAGGAGCCCTACCACTGGCAGCAGAACGCCCGCCCAACACCGCTCAACGTGTAATTTTTTCGGATCCATTTCTTGTTTTTTTACGGGATTGCAGAAGAGGCATTAAATTTTATATCACTAATTTTCTATTGTCTTGAGCTTAAAAATAAAAACTATTTTCTGAAATCCCGTAAAAATTATGATCGATCTAACCCTCTGTCCTGCATGAACTAACAAAAACCCGACCTGGTACGGTATTTGGGTCGGCCGAGAGGTCACCACGAAGCCGATCTGAATATCGTATCCGCTTAAAGGGACTGTGAAGGCAAATTAATGGAAAACCGGACAGCATTTCGAAAATTTAAATCGAGCGAAAATCTAGAAAAATTAAAAAATCTCGAATTTTTATAACTTCGTGCTCATCAACTTCCACGTTTGGGCGCGGAAAGTTCGAAATTCTGCAGAGCTTGGTCTGATCGAATTGGAAAATTTTGAAATTGGAGCTTCTGAAAACTCAATTTTCTCGAAAATTCGAAATCTCGAAAAATCTGATTTGCACGATTCCAGTGTTTATTTAAAAATTTATGCAAAATAAGAATAAACCCTAAAGTTTCCATTTTTGCCTTCACGGTTCCTTTAAAGGGCTCCGGAGGACCGAGCTGGGCTTTTTCTCGACTCTCAAAAATGGCATACCCCTCGAAATACAAAAATTTATGAAAACCATAAAATTTTCTAAATCTATGCGAAGAATGCCAATTTTCCAATCGATCAAAAGCCCAGTCAGCCACCTCCAAGTACCCCCGCCAAAACTGTAGTGCCATTTTCAGCCGTGTGTCGTCCTTCTAAACCCCTCTATAGTCTGCCCCCAATGTGCAGCACCACCCTCTTCTTCTTCTACCCTCTGGTTTGCCCACCTCAAAACAAAACAACAAGGTGTGCTTTATCTTTCATTTCGGGCTAGCGAACTGTCGAACACCACTTTGCGCTTTGAATTTTACTTCCTATTTTTTTTTCGCGGCACCGCACAGCTGCCCTGCCCCGGGGCTTTGAGTTTCGGCTTTGCGACTTGTTTTCGCGGGTCAGCAGCCGTTTTTGAACGCTGCAGGCAGGGTTCGGGCCCGGAAAAATTGGCGAGAGTCACGTGAGCTTGAGCGGAATTTCTGCAAGCGAAAAAGTCGTGATGGGTGGGGTTTGATCCTCAGAGGCTCGGTCTAAGCCTAAGCCTAAGCCTAAGCTTAAGCTTAAGCCCAAGCCTAAGCCCGTAATAACCCAATCATCACCTAAAAACGACCTCCTGTAAACCAACTCTCCAAGCCAAAGCCAAAACAGCTAGACGTAGTCCGCGTTAGTGGAGTGGTTCGTAAAGTGGTAAAACAGAACCGGTTGATCGAATTTTCAAAAATCAACAATTTCAGCCCCCGCGGCGACATGCATTTCCGTGCGGTGCCCCGGGACGACCCGCTGATCGAGAAGCTGCCGCACTCGTACCGCCAGCCCGGTGCACAGTATCGCCCTTCCCCAATGCCCTACAGGGAGACTAGCGCCTAAATCGTGTCCTTCCGATTACCGTATTCTCTCGAAAGCCTAGTCCTAAACTAAGCCCAAGCCTAAGCCTAAGCCAAGTCTAGAACTAAGCAAGCCTAAGCCTACGTCTAACCAAAGCTGAGAATACGTTAATCATCCCTTTCCTGCCGAACTATTCGGCTTACGGTAGCCATCCCCTAGAAACAAATTGCGTAACCCGAACACATCGAAGAACCCACATTCTCGTTTGAAACCTTTTAGCAAGCCAGGAAACTCGATACGCCTGGCTAAAACCCAACCCGGCTACCGTAAGCCTCATCCTCGTGTTCCAGAAAATATCTCAGCAAAAACAATATATTTCCCCTCTTCAAAAATCCCTCACCGCATTCTAATAAATTCAGGATCAGCCCCCCGCGGCGTTGCCTTGACATTTTCTGTGTGCCCCTCCCCCCATTAATGCATTTACACTCCCACTCAGACATACCCCACCCCCAATTCTTTCACAACTTTGTTTGCCAATTTTTATAGGGCCGGTAACGAGGGGTTCAAAATGAGAAAAAGTACGATAAAAAAGCCAACCCCAGTTTCCAGACCCCTTCATGCGCTCGCATCCTGTGAATGGTGCCGGTTTTGAATTGTTTTCTTCGTGTTTCTATATTTTGCTTGTGCTATGTATTTTTTCCGTCCATTTTTCCCAGTATAATCCCTGACTTTCACCTCTACGCCCAGATCTATTGAAGCTCCCCCACGCAATTTTGTGTGTGTTTTCGCTCAATAAATATTGCGAAAAATTCGTTTTTCTGACCGTCTTACCCGTCTTCGAGGTTTTCGAGGCACGTCTCCCGGTAGATGCTTCAAAATTTGCCGGCGCCCAGAAATACCGCAGAAACTCTGCTAGCCCACCGTGCATTGTTTTTTTCAGGCCGTTCTGACAGGTAGTCTTCTTTTTACAAAGCCCGACTGGATAAAAATTACAATTGGATCCTTCCGTAACGTGTATTTTTTGAGAAAGTTAGCTTGCAAAGACCTTCAAAACAATGTAGTACCATTTATCGCTCGTAATTTCCGGGAAACACGGGTAGCGCACATAATGCAATTCCAGCTCAATGCGTATATAAAAATGCTTGGCGAGAGGCGAACAAACAAATTCCGAGTAATCAGGCGGTGGCGAGTAGGACCCACGCGCAAATGCTGATATGAATAGTGGGGGTCTGTGTATATATATTTGTATGTGTATGCGGAGGTGGGGCGGGGGTATAAAATTCTATACAAAAACAATCACTAACAAGGGGATATCAGAGCCACAAGAGCGGAACAGGGCCAAAATCTTGGGGACACAGAAACAGTCAAAAATATAGGTCGATAATTGCACTGTCAGTACGTTTTTGTGAATTCGAGTAGAGATATGGCTATAAAAAGAGAAAGAGTGGTCGAATCAGCACTCGACCGTCCAGCCGGGCATCTGCTCACGTCCGTATTGGATGTTGGCGATGGTCTGGTAGAGGCGCTGCATCAGGTTCGGGTTCGCGTCCATCGTCGGGATCTTCATGCGCACAAACTGTCCGTTTTGCTGGTGCACGATCTCGCCGATCGGGGAAACGACAGCAGCGGTTCCGGCGCCGAACAGTTGTAGCAACTGAAAAGTCATAGGTAAAGATATTCAAATAGCTTTTCTCTAGTATCCAATTTTCCCTTGACAGCTCTATTTTCCTCCACGCGAAAACGTCAATCGTAATTTAAAAAGTCTGAAATTTGATTTTCATCCAGTTTCAAAATTTCCGAATAGTTTTCGGGTTAAACCGCAGCTACCGTTTCCCAAAACAACTACCAAAAACAAGAAATGACGCCTCTAAGCATAGCATCTATCTATTCCCTGTCTTTCCTTGTTTTGAAAGCTACAAAAACCAACCCTGCCCTCCTTGAGCGCGTCGGTGACGTCACGCATGGTGAATGGCCGCTCCGAGACCTTGCACTCATTCCAGAGCCTCGCCAGGTCGAGCAACGACTGGCGCGTGACACCGGGCAGGATGAGGCCCGAGTCGAGGGGTGGCGTCACAAGCTCGAGGTCTCCCTACAAAGAAAACAGTGTGATAAAGGAGGGCACGTGGGTGGTTACCTCTTTGTTCTTCCACAGCGCAAAGATGTTCATCGTTCCGGCTTCAGTGATCTGCTCGTCTTCGCCGTACAGCCACATGATTTGCTGGCAGTTTTGATCGCGGGCCGCATTCTAAAAAGTCTTTGGTTTACTTGAATAGAATATGAAGAAATTTAATCTATAGTTTTTAGAAAAAATCTGTTATTCTAGAAAATAAAAAGAACTAGAAAAATCGAATGACACTTCAACAACTCCTCGTCTCGTTGAGCAAACCTTAACGATTAAAAAAGCAACAAAAAGGCTACATGATAAGTGGGGAGCTTGAGATCAACACCGACATTGCTGATGGCGATCGTCGGCGCGTAGTTGCAGCCCATCTTGAAAGCGCCCACGCCGCCAGGGAAGGCTCGGATGTAACGGCTGTCGGCCAGAAGGGAGACGGGCTTGAAACCGGTGGCGTAGTAAGGACCGACGGGGCCGCCGATCACGAACAGCTTGGCCTCCTGAAAATCCGAATTTCAAAGTGTCTTTCAAACACGAAAATATTACATAGCTGGCTTTAAATCACAATTTTCTTACCGATGATGCGCCGACACCCAGCGTCGGGTCAGTGCCGATCATCGTCGGCCGAATGTAGTAGGAGGCCGTCTCGGAGTTGGGCACCCAGTCCTTGTCAACGCGAAGCTAAATTAAAATAAGAGCAAAAGGATCCCAAACTAACCATCTCAACGATCAGCTTAATCAACTCCTGCGAGTCGAAGTCGGGCAGAGAAGCGCGCACAGCGGTGCGCCGCATTCGCGCCATGTTCAGCTCGGGCCTAAACGAAACAGTAATATAAATAAAGCGAAAAACACAAACCTGAAAATCCGAATCTTGCCGTCAACGCCTCGGTACGCCTTGAGACCCTCGAACAACTCGGCGGCATAGTGGAGAACCTAGAAAAATTGGATCCAAAAAACGCTCGTGAAAATACCTTGGCGGCCGGGTGAATTGAGAGCTCCCGGAGGGGCTCGATCTTGGGCCGCGTCCAGCCCTTGTCCAGCGACCAGTCGACGTTCACAAAGTGGTCGGAGAAAACGTGGCCGAAGGGCAGCGTGTTGTAATCCGTTGGCTTTTCGCGTAATTGGTCACCGCTGGCTCGGATGATCTGGAAAAGACCTGATAACAGGTGACCACAACTCGCTATCAAAAAAAGACGCTGGGTAAATCGTATAGTTGCGATCAGAGTCTACGTTATAAAAACAAACCTCAACATCCTGATGGTAGAAGGAGCAGCGGGGGTCGCCGGTGACCGGCTCGGCCTTGGTCTGCTTGCCAAGCGACTGGGTGCCGAGAAGTCGGCGCGAAATCGTGACCAGGTTGTGTCTCATTTTTTAGCTGAGTTGGCTGAAAGAGAAGTTATAACTTGATATCGTCACTGAAACAATGTAAGAATGAGAAAACGTGTAAATTACGCCGCAGTTGAAAGGAAAATAGCGGCCGCAAAGCCAGAAAGACAGGAAACTGAATTCAAAGCACAAAAGTGCCTTTTAAAAGGCGCCGAGCTGTAATAAAGTGGGGGCGTCCGAGAAACGCTTTAAAAAACCAAAAACAATATGGAATCGCCGCCATTAGCCATTGCAAGGATGATGCAAGCCGGCTGGGCCTTTCTCTATACAGTCGGGTGGTCGAGGTGAGTGAATGGGCGGGAACGGGAGGGAAGGCAGGACCGATTCTTTGGCACCTCCCATAATTCTCCGGGTTCTCGACACCGCCTGGAACATTCCCCGGGGCTACGAAAAGCAAAACGGGCACTATCGTGGCCTATCGCATGCACCCGGCCGATTTATCTAGATCTAATTAGTGGCCATTGGGGCGGAACTAGCTAGCCAGATTGCAGCGAGATTGCCGCGAGAGAAGTTCGGGGAAGAAGCCTACAAAAAAACCGAAGAAACGTAGGGCCGAATGAGAAAACAAGAAAGGGAAAAGATAACTGTAGCCCTCTACCCTATGCGGATAAGGCAAAGAGATAAATTTCTACGGAAAATCCATTTTTGCAAAAAGACGCAAACAAACCCGCCACGTGGGTAGACAATCGTAGAGGCCCAAGACCAGTGACTCGACGAAAACAAAAAGGCTCACCCAGCCGGCGGGTGAAAGGGCATTTTGGCGGGGCGGAATGTGTGGGATGTGGCAAAAGCAAATGCGCCAAAAACCCGACAACGGCGGGAACAGTGAAAGGCGATCCGCACACGCGGCACCGCGCTTTGAGCAAGAACTGCACCTCGAGGGGGGATGAAGGGGCAGCCGGGTGACGAGTGCCGAATTTCCTCGTGTGCACAATGAGCAGGAAGTAAAAAGGGGCAAAGAAAATGATTGCGAGGCTTGCAAGAGGCGAGAGATACCTTTAAACGATCGGCTGGGCTTTGATTGAGAAAATTAAGTAGAAAACTAGATTAATCTGGTAGTTTCAATGCGCTGGCCAAGCAAAATATCTGTTTAGATCAGAAATTGTTGAAAGCGCAGATGGTGCGCAGTTACTTACATGTAGAGGTTGTGGGGTCACAGACTCCAAATCGGCTCAAAATTGGTGGAAAAATCAAATAAAATACGGGGAACACGATGCGATAAAAATTATCTGCCAATGGACACTTTTGTTTAATAAACTTTTGATTTTAAGAGGAAAAAGTGCTCAGAAAATGCACTTTTAGCTGCTTGATCGGCCTTCCGGCTGGAAAAAAAATGTTTTGATGGAATTTTCATAGCAGCCACGACACTAGACACCTTTCCACACCCGAAAAAAAATTGATCTGAAAAAAAATTTTTCATGAAAATTTGACGACCTATCCTATAGCCGCGGATCCTGGGAGTGTTGGAAGCTGCTTAAAATAGGTGGTTCTGGCTCCTAGGCGCTTCAAATCGGAGCACCGAGAGATTTGGTTGCCGGAATAATTCTATTTTTACAATATGAGTTCAAAAAATAATATTTATTAACTATTCCGTTGGTTTTCATCGAGCTGGGATAGGTAGGTAGACCTTTTTGAAAAAACTTCCAAAATTTTCGAAATTTTATTTTTCTGCCCAGGCAAACCCTAGGGATTATTAGCACCGAAAAACTTTCGAAAACCCTTTCTAGACCCTCTCCCTGCAAAATAAAAGCGAAAACAGCAAAAAGCAAAAATTAAAAATAACGACGGGATCCGAACCCTCGACCCCTGCCTGTCATCCTTGCACCCTACCCCTACAGGGTGGGCCAGAAAAAAAGCCCCTAGTTTGCAGTGAAATATCTCACGAACGGAAATGAATCGGACCATGGTTACCTTGCCAGAATGCTTAAATATGCTGGGTATGAAGAATAAACACAAGTTGTTTTTTATGATTTTTGACGACCCCCTACTCGTTAAGAATTTTTGAATATTTTTGAAAAAGTAGAAAACTTTAAAGAGGAAATTAATGGAACTTTTAATGCGCTAGGGGCTCATGTAGGGTATCAAAATGAAGCTCTTGGAATGCGCTATCAAACCACTGGTAAAGATTGTCATTCGGATTAACTAGCCGTCAATAGGAGCATTCAGAAGATCCGGCCTTTCCAGAAGGGACGATTTCGAGTTAACCATAGAAAGCACATAGCCGCCGTCACGTTTTGTATTTGTTAGATGTAATCCTGTTTGCCAAAGATAACCATATTATAAATTTAACTATAGGAGCGTAGAACTCACAAATTCCGCCGACTTGGCAAAGTGCCAAAAATTTTTTTGATCGGGATTTTGAAAATCTTCATGCCAAAAGTTAGTAATTAACTATCTATTGGTAAATGCAAGATATCAGAAAAATCGGGTGGTAAAGAAATTATATCTGGAATTATTTCTGCAAAAAGTGCCGATTTTCCGAACGTTCCTTTTTACAGCTAGTTAAACCGCTCTTTATTCTTTACCAGTGGTTTGATAGCGCATTCCAAGAGCTTCATTTTGATACCCTACATGAGCCCCCTAGCGCATTAAAAGTTCCATTAATTTCCTCTTTAAAGTTTTCTACTTTTTCAAACATGTTCAAAAATTCTTAACGAGTAGGGGGTCGTCAAAAATCATAAAAAACAACTTGTGTTTATTCTTCATACCCAGCATATTTAAGCATTCTGGCAAGGTAACCATGGTCCGATTCATTTCCGTTCGTGAGATATTTCACTGCAAACTAGGGGCTTTTTTTCTGGCCCACCCTGTATACTACCGATCCGATGGGAAGGGGCGCTTGGGAAGTCTTCAAGAGACCTCCCCTGCCTCGAACCGTTTTGGCGATTCAGGTCGCGCTTCTAGGTCGTTTTCCATACAAAATCTTAAAATCAAAAGTTTATTAAACAAAAGTGCCCATTGGCAGATAATTTTTATCGCATCGTGTTCCCCGTATTTTATTTGATTTTTCCACCAATTTTGAGCCGATTTGGAGTCTGTGACCCCACAACCTCTACATGTTAGGAGCTCAACGTGAGACTCCTATGTACGCCAGCGCATGACGATTCAGCGTAAGTATCTCATTTTTAGTAACCAAGTTTTCCAAAGAGAAGAGCCTGTGCGCAGAATCATAATCCCAATCCTATAGCTATCACTGTCAATGGGAAGCCATTGTATGGATGGTATCATTGTGTAGCAGCCCCCACGTGGTGAGAGTGAGCAAGTGAAGGGGTGGAACCGGCCCAGAGGGGCGGAGCTGGTTGATCGACGGCTGGGGCGAGCCGTTTTGGCGCTTTGGACTTGTGACCTCATGGTTACGCAGTTTCCGCCAACAAGACAGCAATTGCGACGTTTTTGGGCTTCGCTCAACGCTACGGACAACATTTTCCATGTCCAGAAAATGGGTTCATTCGCTGCTATGCCGGAAGAACCACGCTGTTTGAGCAACAACGAGAAAGCGCTGTTGCTCAAACCTCGCTGCTCTCATGCTCCCATTCAATTTTTTAAGCTCAAAAATAGGGGCAACGGCCCTAAATGAAGTGGTCACATGTTGGTTGCGCCGACTGACCCAACCACGAAGCAGCAGCAGTTCGTTTTGTTGACCGAACCCGTCTGTTGAACTGTTTGCACAGGGCTCTCCACCCTGCGCACAGCTTCTCCTCCCCGGGAAAATTTGGCGCCGCAAAAAACTTGACGACCCGGCGTTCCAGCCAGCGGCCGGGAGGAGAAGGTAGTGGTCCTCGAAAACAATTAGTGAGAGGAGGCGCTGGCCATTTTTTTCAATTTGGATGGGCACGGGGTTGGGTTTGGTGGAAATCCCTTGGGGGGTCGCAGGATGGCAGGGGGAAGGAATTTGTGTTGGAAATGGGTGAAGCCGGAAGTTGGGTGCTTCAAAATCAAACACGAAATAGGGTTTTTTAATAGAAAAAGAGAATCGAAGTAATAAAATAGTTATGTTGATCTAGATAGAAAGGGTAAGTGAAAGGTATGCAGGTTGGTTCTTGCGCATTATCGGGGGGGCGAACTTTTTATTTATTCTGCGCACAAGGCGCCGTTGCACACGCAACGAGGTAAAAAAGATCACAGTATGAGAAAAAAAATCACAGAAAGGGGGGAGGAACCATTGAAAAAGAAAGGTGGAGGATGGGGGGTTTGTGACGACAAGGTGGACACGCACTTTTATATAAGTCTAGAAATCCCTAGTAACTTGATAAAAAGTGTTTTAGTAGTTTTTTCAGTGATATCGAACTTAATTTCAACTAGAAAACTATCTAAAACTTTTTTAAAAAGTCGAAATTTTGGTAAAAAATCGGCCATTTTCAGTCGAAAAATCTCGATATTTTTTATATTTTTTAATACAAATTTGGAAAGTTTTCACGTTTAGGAATAGTAACAAAACCCATTCGGAAACACTTCGAATATTTATGGTTGACAAATTAGACGAAACGGAACGGAAAATCCTCAGAAAACAAGTCCCCCCCCTCCCTCGATAATGCGACAGAACCAAAAGGTTAACTTTTAAAAAAAGAATTCTCTCTACTGTATATTACTACGTAATAGGATTAAGAAAATAACCTCTCTTTTCAAGAAAAATCAAAAGAAAAACTCGAAAACAAAAAAAACCCACTGCAGTTTAGTCCAGCGACCGATTGTGACTGGCTAGCAGTGTGTGGCAACGGCTCTGTGGCTAAGGCTGTAATGTATAGAGGCGTGCCGCGTTCGCCGTATGTCCGCCGTGTCTGTTTTTGAGGAATTGACAAAAAGAGGGGCAAGGGCGAGAGATCACCGCAGGGCGAGAGGGTGGAGAGAGGGATGGGTGGGACTGATGCAATCTCACGTCACCCCGGTCCACACTGGGTCACGTGACATAACCACCGGTGCCCTCGGGACACGGACATGTCTGTCCGGGACATGACCGGACTTGCCCTGGTGGGTACACCAGG